GCTGTTAGATACTCACTTGGAGTTGTTAGCAAGCTCTTGCTTGGTGTTCAGTGAGGGAACTGTAGAAAACATCTGACAGACATCTTACGGACAGAAAAAAATCTCAGTTCTCCCTAGTTACTAACACTTACTCAGCAAATACTTCTTGAGTACCTACGGTGTGTTAGGTACTGTACTGGGTGCTGGGGAGTACAGCGTGCATTTGGTCAGAAACAGTCACTATCTTCATTACAACTTAATTAGTTCACTGGTTTCTGAGACACTTCTCTGAATATTATGTAAATATATGAAATCAACTCTCAAAAGTTATAAATACTCAGATGCTCTCTGACTCAGCAATTTGGAAGAGCTTAGATTTTCCGAAAGAAAGGAGCTATATATAGATTTGGACAAATGACAGATTTACCCATAAAATATGCGAAGACCGCCTTAAAATGAATCAGAAGAGACTGTCTCAACCAAATTAATGTTTACAAAGTCAACCTAGTGTAATGGAAAAGCTTACAGGGCTGGAAGGCAGAAGCTCCGGGCCTGTGTGTTCTGTTTCAACGAGATCACATGTATGACCTTGACTGAGTCCTTGACTCATCCTGCATCAGTTTTCTCTTCAATAAATTGAATCTGAGAGTCAATGTTTTCTAAAAAGCCTCCAAACTATTAAGTTCTTTCTTTGCATTATTTCTCTTGCAGGACTCTCATTCCTCTTTCCAACATTTATTAAAAAACAAAACCCCAAACTCCAAGGTGATTCTTCTCTTCTATGAGGGCTCATTTTTCAAAGCAAAATAAAGCTGTTTTTTTCCTTTTTTGCAACTGGAAAATTTTTTTGACTGTAAAAATGATCCATGATCACAAAAGCACAGAGAGTAGGAAGTCTCTACAATGATACCACTGAGGTAATTATGTCTGTTTTCACCATCATTGTATCTGCAACGTGTCATATGGCAGATGCTGAATAATATTTGTTGAATGAATGACCATTTCTAATATCTTGTGAACATCCTTTTTAGTCTTTAGACCAGAAAAGGAGAAGGAGAAGAAAAAGGAGGAGGAGAAGAAAATCCTTTCTCTGGGGGGTTGTTTAGCCACTAGAGTCACCAGAGACTGAAAGGGCTGGGAGCCTACTTGGATCTCAAATTACTGGTTTCACAACAGCTGAGATCTGAAATCTATGTCATGTAGGGAAACAATAACATCAAATACACCATTCTGATGGCTGTAAACAATATCAAGGGTGGCTCAGTTTGAGCAACAACAAGAAATGCTACAAAACAGTCCAAGGTGACCAGGAGTGGCTCCTGCAGCTGATGGGAGGGCAGGCTCTGCCCCCCACATCCTTCCTCCCACGCTCGGTCCTCTTCCTTCCTTCCCTACAGCACCAGGATGAGTTTTCTTGGGGCACCTGAGCTGACCTCAGCACTTTATTGCAAACCTAGCATCTTTTTGATTGTTAACTCCCCTCTCAGGAAACCAAGATGATTTTCGGATTACCTCTGGAAATGAATTATTATTGTTATTATTTTTTTGAAAATGAATTAAATCCAGAACCTGGCTGCACACCCATGATGCATCTTTTTCTCCCAAATGGAAGGAGTGGCTAATGTTAAAAACTGAGACATTTGACATGTGGACATGAATTTTACAGATCTCTTGAAAAATCACTGGATTTGGCGGCACCACTACCCATTATCCCATGGAGCAATCAGCTAGAGCTAAGGGGCAGCCTCCTGCTCTAGAGAGTGTTCCTCAGCTCCTTCATCCCCCAACCCCACTGTTACATCCTGCCTACTGTGCTCATTTACCCAACTTGCTACCTCTAATTATGCAAAAGCACTCAAGCGGCATCTATTAAGTACCAGGCACTGTGCAAGTTCCTTGGAACACTGAATGAACACAACACAGCTCCTACCTTGGAGAAGCTCTTGCGAACTAGCTTAGGAACCGGCTAATTACAGTGCAGTAAGGGCAGCATGGAGAGCAGAAACATGACATAGCCCAGGGACTCTCCCCTGAGAGGCTGCCCAGATTCCTTGAAGGTCATGTTTGAGCTTGGTTTTGAAGGATGAGTTACTCAGGCGAGTGGGCAACTGGGAAATATTGCAAATAGTGGGGCGGTTTTGAAAGCATATATAAGGTCTGCTGAGCAGCTGCCTGGTGCACAGGTGACCCTCAGAGCCAGCAACTACCTTTTTGCTGATCAGTGCAGGTCTGTCTACAGCTCTCTGCCTGGGTGTCCCCTCATAATCAGAAAATCATCTTGGTTTCCTGAAAGGGGAGTTGACAAAAGGATGCTAGGTTTGCAATAAAGTGTTGAGGTCAGCTCAGGTACCCCAAGAAAACTCATTCTGGTGCTGTAGGGAAGGAAAGAAGAGGGCCCGAGCGTGGGAGGAAGGATCTATGGGGCAGAGCCTGCCCCTTCCTTCCTTCTGTCAAAATGCCAGAGAAGGTTCACCTCTACCAGGAAGAGCCTACCTGACTAATCCCCAGTCACCTCTGGTTATTTCAACTGAGGCAACACTCCCATTCTGGGGAAACTGGTCACCTGAGGGTGATTCTGTTATTTGAACTTTGTTTTGTTTTGGAACCTCCTGATAGCTGAAAAGTCGACCAGCATTCCATGCAATTAATAAGTATTTACCAAATATCTATATTGTATATAGAGTACTATTTCTTGGGATCCCTGGGTGGTGCAGCGGTTTAGTGCCTGCCTTTGGCCCAGGGCGCGATCCTGGAGACCCAGGATCGAATCCCACGTCGGGCTCCCGGTGCATGGAGCCTGCTTCTCCCTCTGCCTGTGTCTCTGCCTCTCTCTCTCTCTCTGTCTCTCTGTGACTATCGTAAATAAATAAAAATTAAAAAAAAAAATTTAGAGTACTATTTCTTTGTCATGCACGTCATTTTTGACCCCAACAAGCGAGTTGGGAATGAAGACAAAAACTAAAAACAGACGATAAAATTCAGAAAACATTTATTAAGTGCCCGGTATTCACAATTTTGTTGGTCCTTCTTCATCCATCCAACGTTCAGTGAGCACTTCTAAGGCCCGGCACTGTGCTTTGCACCTGGAAATTGAGCCACTAAAATATACAAGCTAGCCGCGGACATGAATACATAAACCCATTTATAATGAGTTACCCGTCAGAGCAATGTTCAAAGCACAGCAACAACTTGAAGAGAGATGTGTTGACTGCCCCCAGGGTACTAGGCAGGTAGCACGGAGAAGATAAGTTTGAGCCGCTTATCTTGTTTTTGTTTCTTTTTTGCTTTTATTGTGACATTTTACAACAGACACAAAAATACAGAGGCTAGTACAACGAAACTCCATGAACCCACAACCCGCTTGGCAATTAGTAACTCATCAGCACTTCTGATTCATCCATACCCTCCCCTGCTTCCCTCCATCCCTTCATTTTGTTTTGAAGCCAATCCTAGACATCTTTATCGTTTCACCCATAAATGCTGAGCGGAGTTTGAAGAAGGAACTGGGAAAGTCTAGAGCTTCCACTACTAACTTCCTTTCCCCCATCTATTCTTCTGCAGATGACTCTGCCGTAGGCATATACTCTTACTCCTGCAGTGACTCCAAAGCCTTCACTATTGGACTTTTCTGGTTGGCTGAAGGAAAAGACTGAACTGATCCAGTGAAAACCCCCTCCTACCTTCTCTGAAAGGCTGACCATTCCTTGGGTCCTGGGTTCTAATTGCTAAATCTTCAGAAGAATTGCCAATTCTTTAAGAGCTTATTAGTTGTACAAACCAACTGATGTTCGTGCAATCAGGTTGTACAAACAACCTAGTGTTTGTCCAGGATGGTGCCCGCGTCCCACATTTCCGTGTGCCCTCAACCTCCAGGGAAACCTCAGGCCAGCGCTGCTTCCTGTCACAACTCTGATCTTAGTCGCATCTGAACCGCTGGCACCCTCCACACCGCTGCCATTTCCTATCCGTCTGGAAGGTACCAACATCCCAGCACTTACTCAACCAGGACACTGTCCTGGGCTCCCTCACAGTTTGTTTTGTTTTGTTTTGTTTGGGTTTAAAGCCACGTGGGTGGCTCAGTGGTTAGCGTCTGCCTCCGGGCCCAGGGCGTGACCCCAGGGTCCTGGGATCGAGTCCCGCATCCGGCTCCCCGCAGGGAGCCTGCTTCTCCCTCTGCTTGTGCCTCTGCCTCCCTTTCTCTGTCTCTCATTAATAAAATCTTTTAAAACCTAAATAAGTAAAGCCACCCACTATTATCCACGTCCACAGCATCCCTCAATTTAGGACGCCGGCGCCCTCAAGTCTTGCACTATTTAGGCATCCTTCTCCTTTAGCACCATCCTCCTCCTCCTCCTCTCGCCTCCACTGGGTGATCTTCACAAAACACCCTGCTGAAAGCCCTTTCGGGGTTCCCAACCCCTGCGGGGACAAGGCCAAGCCCGGTCCCCGCGGATCAGGAGGCTCCGCAAAACACGGGCTGTGGGTTACCCCTCCCTCCGGCTCCGCCCGCCGCCTGTCCTCCGCAGCCTGCGGCCAAGTGCTCTACTTGAGGGCCCGCTTTCTCGGGTCTCTGCGCCTCTCTCAGCAGGGCCGCGCCGCCGCTCACACGCGTGAGCTCACACGAAGTCAGCCGCTTCACTTTGCAGATGGAGAAACTGGGGATGGGCACCTTACCATGGCCACGCAGCGGAAGAGCCGAGGCTCGGACGCAGACTCCCGGCGCCAGGGGCCGCGGGCCCGGCCGCACAGCCCCGGGCGCCCGGCCGCACAGCCCCGGCGCCCGGCCGCACAGCCCCGGGCGCCCGCCCCGCGCCTCAGCAGCGAGCGCTCCGGGCCGCCGCCCGCCCCTCGGCTGCGCCCCCCGCGCGTCCCGAGGAAGAGCGAGGCTTCTGATTGGCCGCCTGCGGCGACCCCCGGCGAGAGGGCGGGACCGACGGCGCGGGGGCGTCGCGGAGAAATGACGCAACGCCGCGACTCCTTAAAGGCGCCGGCCCCTTGCGCCGCGGATGGCGCAGGCGCGTTCCGGAGGCTCCCGCTGGGTCTCCGAGCGCTGAGAGCCGGGCCGGACGGGCGCGCGCGCGCGGGCTGGGCCGGCGGGGAGCGCGCCGGCCGCGGGCAGCTCGAGGGGTCCGGCGGGGCGGCGGGGGCAGCGGGACCAGTCCGCCGACGACCCGGCGCCGCGATGGCCGAGGGCAGCGCCGTGTCCGACCCTCAGCACGCCGCGCGTCTGCTGCGAGCCCTCAGCTCGTTCCGCGAGGAGTCCCGCTTCTGCGACGCGCACCTGGTCCTCGACGGGGAGGAGATCCCGGTGCAGAAGAACATCCTGGCGGCGGCCAGCCCGTACATCAGGTGAGGAGGGGCCGCGCTGCCCGGAGCCCCCGGCCGCCCCGGCCCCTCCCCTCCCCTCCCCTCCCCTCCCCGCCGCCCGCTGCCCGCTGGGCGCCGCGTCCCTCCGGGGCCCCGGGGCCGCCCCTGAGCTGCGGTCTCCCTCGGGCCGGGCCTGTGCCCGCCGGAGCGCCCCCGGAGCCCGGGCCGCAGCCCTCCCGCGCTCCCTGCTGCGCCGCCCGCCGCCCGCCGCCCGCCGCCCGCCCGGGCCTCCGAGCTGCCCGGGCCCCCCGGACGCCGTCCTCGGCCGGCCCGGGACCCGCACCCGCACCCGCACCCGCGGGCGGGCAGGCAGGGCGGAGCCTCGCCCGGGCCTGGCCCTCGAGCGCGGCTGAAGTTTGCCGGCCGCTCGCCTCCGCCTCGCGTCGTGGGCCGGGCGGGCGCGGCGGACCGAGCCGGGCGCGCCCCTCCCGCTGGGGAGCCGAGCAGGCGCTTCCTCGCCGGCCCGGGGCGCCGGGAAACCCCGTGGGATCCTCTCCCCGGAGCGGCGGTCCGACCCCCGAGGCCCACGTTCTCGCCGGACGTGCCTTCTCTTCTTCTCTTCTCTTCTCTTCTCTTCTCTTCTCTTCTCTTCTCTTCTCTTCTCTTCTCTTCTCTTCTCTTCTCTTCTCTTCTCTTCTCTTCTCTTCTCTTCTCTTCTCCTCTTCTCTTCTCTTCTCTTCTCTTCTCTTCTCTTCTCTTCTCTTCTCTTCTCTTCTCTTCTCTTCTCTTCTCTTCTCCTCCTCTTCTTCTCTTGCGGTGGAAGCTCCGCTTAGAAGCAGGGCGGTGCGTTAGACACACGTTGGAGTAAGCCGTAGCTAATTTTAGAGCACTTACTGCCATTCTCAGGATGCGGTTACCGGCGAGGATCCTGAGATTCTAGAGACTCAGAGGGCATTTTACAACTCAGGTAAAACAAAGCTTAACCTGATATGCTCGCCCAACTTAACCGGGTTAATTGAGGTTGCTAAGATCCTGCCTAACCAAGCCTATCAGATCCTGCAGGGAAGCTATTATTTTCTTACAGCAACTTTCTTGCAAACTGGGTTGCTCTTTTAATAAAAGAAAGGAAAAAAAAAAAAAAGCCAAAAGCTGGAGAACCTGTCCAGTAAGCTGGTTAAATATAGACTAATAGTAGAGACTGTCAGTAGAATCGACAGATCAGAAAAAAGCAAAATGATGTGCACTGTATTTTTAGTGCTGTGTCCCGGCCCAGCACAGCGCCCAAACTCCCATTTGCAGTTTTGCATTATCTGTGCTAAGTCAGAAGCAGTGCAGGCGCCCTTGGAACTTCTCCTGACTGCCTCCTGCAAATCCGCTTGCACTCTTTGTGGAGTTAAAGGGGGAGCCGAGAGACTCTTAGTATGGAATTTGGATTGCCAGTAGGATAGCCCGCTCCTAGCTGGCAGTTCAGAGGTTTGAGCAATCGATGTCAAATCGGAATCAGCAGGTCGGAGTCTTCCCTGTATCCATAGTATTCTCTGTTTGGGGAAACACTTTGGACACGTTATTGTTGTAGTCTTGTAAGAGGCATCCAGCAGGCTCAAAAGAAAATTACAAATCACCAAGCCCAAGCTTTCTATCCCCTCTCCACGCTTCAATTTTCTCCATACCTCTTATCACTATAATGTGCTCTGTATTTTACTCATTGACTTTGTCCATCTTCCCCAACCACAGTGTAAGCTCTGTGAGGCCAGGAATTTTTCTTTTGTCCATTACTGTATCCCCGGCAGCCAGCAAGAACGGTGCCTCGTGGTTCAGCGGATGTGTTGATTGCGTGATTGCTGCCCTTTTTCTCCAGCAGGTTGGACATTAGACGATTGGCTCTGTTATATTTCATTTCAGATGCTCAGTTATCCCTAATTGAGAAGAGCCCTAGGCCTATTTTCTCCTTCCAGCTTTTTTGCTTTTATAGCTGTGAGCTGTTGTCAGATGACTTACTCTTGACTTCAGCTCACTTGTCTGATAAATGAGAGAGACAATGTGTCTTCATCTCATTTAATCTTTGACCTTCGCAGGAATATGTAATAGTGCTTTGAACTCCTCCAGGTGAGCACATGGGTCTCCAAAGTTAGTGGTGGTATTCCCTGCTGTATAGGCTGTATTAGGAAAGGTGTGGTATCCACTTGTGACAGGTGGCAAATCATGAGAATATTTAGTAATGTCAAATGTTACTTATTTATAATAGCAGTAACTAAGGCGTGAAATGTTACCAGTCAAAGTGGCTAAGCTGGAAGGGACTTTAGATCTTCTCTGGTCTGATCCTGTTACTTTTCAAATAGGGAAATGGGGCTCAGTGGGCCTTAGTGATCTGTATTATGATGAAGTTAGTAGTACTTAGTGGATGAACTCAGATCAGACTCCAAGTTACTGACGCCTCATCTTCTACTGTAGCCATACCAAGTTACAACCTTAACTCATACTTAACTATTTTTTGTGTAAACTCTACTGTCAGTCTATTCACAATGTTGTAATTTAAATGCTTATCAAGTGCTTTTATATACTGTCTCATTTTCATTTTCACTTTCAACCATCTTGTTTTGTAGGTAGGGTGGATATTTTTGACCTTTTATAGATAAACATGAATCAGCCAATATAGGTTTTTTTTGCCAGTGACCAGTTAATTATTTTAGGTTTATTTCTGGACGTGGTAAAATGTTCTTGATGTCTTGGTTATCTTTTAAAATGATCAATCTCAAGACTACTTCAAAGTAATTTGATCTGTATTACTACCTAGAAATAATCTGTTTAATAATATTTGACACCTATGATTTTGGGCTTTTATCTGTATCTGTTTTGTTTGAAAGGAACTCTAAAGAATTATGCTGAAACAAAATGAATTTCCATGTTCTAGCACTTGATATTTCTTTCCCTTTTGAAGCTTAAGCATTTAGGTCTGTGGTGTCATTAATCTATCTGGATTGGGTGTTCCAAAGTTTGGTAGTCTCTGAAGTTTTATAAACATTTGAGTTTTGTTTATTTAATGTCATTAGGTAATCTAGTTTAAGTAACTATCCTAAGAAGCATAAAGCTGTATGATTTAGAAACTGTTATATATTGCTTCTCAATGCTCAACAAAGGGAACCAATTCAGCTTTGTCAGAGTAGGAATTAAAGCAGTTAGCTTGGTATACTTTCTACTTAATATAGAAAAGCTTTTTAACCTGACTTATTGGTATGATCTTTTCCTGTGCTTTATCTTTGGTTTAGGATTTATTTTTCCGCCTGATAGTCTTAGCTATCATACACTAGAAAGACTTTCTATAAAAGTATAAGTATAAAAGGGAAGAAACAGAAAATTTGTGTAGAGTATGTGTCATGCAGCGTCAGGATACAGATGATACTGAAAGGCAGGACCTTCCCTTGTCCATCATTAAGCTCAGTAAGTGGGATGCTGCTTTCACAGTACTCCCTCTACCCAGCTTTTCCTCATTCTGATCTCTGAATGATGTTTTCCTTTGGTTTGTTGGGTAAACTAAATCTAAATGTAGCCGATGACCTCTAAGGGTGGCAAAATTGAATTCGTTGATATAATGGCCCACAGAATCTTTCCTTTCTCAGCAACCCTGAGACCTTCTGGGAAAGATTCCCTGAGGCTTATAGGAAATTTCCCTTTCTCTTGAATATTGCAAAGTTTGCTTTGCTTCATGTCTGAGGCTCTTCTGATTCTGGCACAATCCCATTGATCTGATACAGAGTTCAGACTCTTTTGTGAGCTGTGGTTCTTTGGGAATAAGATATGTGAAAAGGATTTGCAGAGAACTGCTGTATGAATCTGCGGGGCCATGTGCAGGTTCCTGTCTTTTATTCACTCTCTTTTGGGGAGAGAGGTGCTATTTATTTATGACATATATTCCACATCCATGATCCTCTCCAGTCAGAAGTTTTTTGAAACGATGCCATCAGCCTTGGCCAGTTGGAGGATGGAGTCCTCTGATTCACCCAACCTGTGAATGCCCTCCCAGATAGCATTGGTTTTAAACTGGCTGTTGAGCTTGCCTGTCACCTTGTCAGCCTCAACTACATTTACTTGCATGGATGTGTGGTCCTTATAGCTGACAAAGTAGTTGCTGGCGGAACATTTCCACAGCATGGACAGGTACACAAACTTGCCTGCATCCTCCTGCACGTCGAGGATGTGCCTACTGTCACCTCCACGAACATGGACCCAGAAAAGCCTCTATTCATTTTGAGAATTTCATTTTTTTTTCTAGAGGATCTATTGGAACATTAATTTATTTAGCATTTCCTGGAGCTAAAGTCCAGGAGAGTAAAGGGAAGAAAAAGTCTCAAGATTTTTAGATCCCTTGAATCAGCGGACAGTAAGAATGGCAGTTTGTCCCCCTTCCTTATTTTTTTCGGACAAAGCTGGTCTTGCAAGGGTGGAGTAGAGACGTTGGGCCCAGAATCCAGCCTACATTGTTTTGGACTGCATTCTGGGATTTGGTTTCTTCATCTGCAAAGTGAGGTTGGCCAGGCCCCATGAATGGCCTGAATTGTGCAGCTCCATGGTATTTTGTTTTGCTGTGTGTGTATATGTTGTGGAGAGGGGGTCTGTTTCTGTTCTTACAGCTTTATTGCATCGTTTAAAGTTGTGTTGTGCATTGACATTAAAGCATTTCCTTTGCCCTGTCATATAGGATTTGGTTGGGTATTCTATATAAACCCAGCCTCATAGAGCTGTTCTGTAACAAGCATTTACTTTATGCTGTTAATCTGGATGTATTCCAAGGCCTAATTATCGATGAGTCTGTTTTGCCATTTAAATCTAAACTTTGACTCATAGATGATGCTGATGAACTACTTATGGAGACTAATATGATCTCTGTAGGAAGTCCAAGTTTCAGAACAGCATAGAAATTGTCATCATCCTTTCTTTGGGCACCTGAAACCTGTCCTGTGCTTGATAGGCCCTAAGGTCCATTAGTTGTCTACTGCGTGCAGAGCATGTTGCTAGTACCCAAGTCCCTTTTCTGAGATTTACGC